AAAGCAGCATCTGCTTACGACATTGGATGGCGCCCTGGGATTGGAAACCACTGGTGCCAACCACGTAAGCCTTGGGTTCTATGACACACATGTCGGGACAGAGCATGGAGAACGTAGCCCTCCTAAGCGGGATGCTGAAAGACAGGTTCCTCCACACACAGAAGGCCCTTAAATTACTGAACTGAGAATGGGCCAGGAAAACCTTACCACCGTCCCAAGGGAAGGCAGCAGAGCTATTTTCTGGGCAAAGATCCAATGGGAAAAAATGTTAAAAGTAACTAACACCCGAAATCAATCCCATGAGTGTGCTGGGAATCCTAATATGCCATTCTCTAATTCTTAGCAGAAGAATTTCTCGCCCAAGGCATGGGGGCATCAATGCAGTTCCATGAAAAGGGGTATTTTGGGAGACTTTGCTCGAGGCAAATCATTCCACTGGGTTAGAGTTTTCCACAATTGAGGTTCCTGCTGTTCCCAAGGAGAACATAAATCCTGCTCATGATTGCCTCAAAATAAATACACGAAAGAAATGTTAGGGATTAATGTCCCTTGAACAAGAGTCCACAGAGTTGACAAATTGGAGAATAACCTCTCCCAAAACTGTAAGGACATTTTAAAAGGATTTGTAAAAAGAAACTAAACTTATTAAAATAATGAGATATGAAATAAATATCTATGCATGTGTTGTGTGTGTGTGTGAACACAAACACATGGCAGGTTGCTATAGCTCCCAATCAATAAGGAAACGCAATGTGCAAGGATTTGTAATAAAATATGGGTCACAATGTAGAACTGTGTGTTTTTACATTTGCCTTCTGAGACCAAAGGAATTGAGAGCTGGGAATGTGCCTCGGCTTAGGGTTTAAAATAAGAGTTTCTAGCAAACACTAGGAAACGATTCCTGAGAAAATGATTAAATGAAAGACCAATTAATTTAAATATCTAAATGTAACCAAGTCCCCTTCCATACTACCCCCAATATGCTAATTTTGCCTTCTCACTGGACAAAGCCTGAGATTCATCTAATATCAGGAACATTTTTGTACATTTTTCAAGAGAGAAATGAATCTGATTTTATATATGTGGCGATGTATGCAAAGTAGTAAGATTATAATTACTTTAATGTTGGATAATCTCAGTAACAGAAAAAACAGGACTTTTATTCGCCGACTGATGGCCAGTCAACAGTTTTGGAGTTTTCATATCAGATTTCTAAAGGAGAATTTTCACACTATGGAGAAAATTGCTTTGTGAAGGAGTGTGGTCTAGTAAGTGTGATTTTCATAAACGTTTCTAAACAGGTTTAACTGACTTCCTTGATTGAAATATGAGGAGATTTTGCTTGATGATTAAAAACTGACACTAGTCCCATACATTTTAGAAGAATTAATAATGTCGCTCAATGTTTAAAAATTGCAGTTGCTTCTTACCACCAACAGACATAATATTCAAGATCTAACCTAAAAGGATTATATGGCAGTATTTTGTTTATATTCATTAGGAAAAAAATCTCAAGATACAATCATCTCCTTTCACTGTTGGGAAAATCTGATGCCAAAAGCATAAAAAGTTCTCACTTATGCCAGAATTAAATCAAAGCTAATTGGATTAAAAAGGAGGGACAAGGTGGGAATAAGGTGGGTGAATAAACTCTCTCCTATAAAAGCACCCTGTAGGGCATTCTGCCTCCACATTTCAGTTGTACCTGGAAGAATTTGGAAGCCAGAAGGGACCCTATAGGGGAAGAGGTGAGTTCAAACATTTATTTATATGACTCAGATTTCTGCAAAGGACAGAAAGAAGAGAGTAGTCTGGGAATGAAGTAATTTCCTAATTAAGTAAGTGTTGTCTGAGGCCAGCTGCATGCCATGAACATTGTATAAACCTGGGGACGCTGGGACCTCTATTCCTACCGCAGTAGGCAGGACTTTGATTTTCTCTACCTGGGCTCAAAGCAATGACAATCTTTCTTGAATGTCATCAGAATTTGGCAGACTTCATGAGATGGTGCATAGAGTTTCTGCCACTGACTCATTGAACCCCTCAGATTCTGCTATGGATTTTGTTTTATTTTCCAAACGTACCCTCCCTCTGGCATCTGGGAAGCACCATTTTGATTCTACTCTTTAATTTTATGACTTCAGTGTTTTTAGGTTCCTAGTAAGTTAGATCATTCAGTATTTATTGCTTTCTATCTGACTTATTCCACTTAGCAAAATGCCCTCAAGTTTCATCCATTTTTAAGGATGTATAATATTTCATTGTATATATAGCACAATTTCTTGATCTATTCTTCTTCCAACATTATCGAGTAAAAGGGATTCGCTGTCTAATGCTCTAGGAGTGAATAGGATGACATGGGAATTTTTGAGAAAAGAAAAGCATTACATTGAAATTCAAATCCCAGGGGGATGGGAGTCAAGCTCTAATCTGTCGTCTCATACTGGCTTCAAATCAGCAATTATTAGAAAACGTTCAGAGGGCCTGGCATGGTGGCTCATGCCTGAAATCCTAGCAATTTGGGAGGCTGAGGCAGGCGGATCGCTTGAGCTCAGGAGGAGGAGACCAGTCTGGGCAACACAGTGAGACTCCATCTCTCCAAAAACACAAAAATTATCTGCGTGTGGTGGTGCAGGCCTGTAGTTCCAGTTACTTGGGGAGGCTGAGGCAGGAGGATCATCTGAGCCCAGGAGGCTCCAGGCTGCAGTGTGTACAACATGCAGTGGAAATTCGGGCTGTGATGTCAGCAAGCTTGTTCTGCACAGACTCCAGCTGGCCATATTGATTCCAGTCAATTTCAGCCAGTTCTTTTGTTTCCTAAACAACGGGAGTTTCAGTGTTTCAGCAAAGTTGTTTCTTTTCTTTTTTTCTTGTGAGACAGGGTCTTGCTGTTGCCTGGTCTGGAGCACAGTGGTGCGATCTTGGCTCACCGCAGCCTCTATCTCCTGGGTTCAAGTGATCCTCCCACCTCAGCCTCCCGAGTAGCTGGGGCCACAGGTGTGCGCCACAATGCCCGGCTAATTTTTAAAATTATTCGTTGAACGGGTCTCATTATGTTGCACTGGTTGGTCTCGAACTGCTGGGCCCAAGCAATCCTCCTGTCTTAGCCTCAGAAAGTGCTGGAATTTGCAAGTGTGAGCCACTGCAACCAGCCAAGTTGTTTCCTTTCTTATCTGCCATCCTGTACACTCAAACATTTCTGTTACTGGTTTCTTTAACACTGTTTTTTGGTTTTTTTTTTTTTTTTTTGAGACGGAGTCTGGCTCTGTCGCCCAGGCTGGAGTGCAGTGGCATGATCTCAGCTCACTGCAACCTCCGCCTCCCAGGTTCAAGCGATTCTCCTGCCTCAGCCTCCTGAGTAGCTGGGACTACAGGCGCCTGCCACCACACCTGGCCGTTCTTTAACTCTTTGGGGCACAATTTCACCAACAGAAACTTGGGTCGTTTCCATGTTTTGGGGATTGGAAATAATGCTGCAATAAACATGGGAATGCAGATATCTTCTTGACATAATTGACTTCATTTTCTTTGTGTGTATACCCGGCAGTGGGATGGCTTGATCATAGGGTAGTTCTATTTTTAATATTTTGAGGAATCTGTTTTTTATACTTGTAGTACTAATTTACATTCCCATCGATAATGTACCAGGATTCCCTTATCTTCACACCCTCAGCCACACTTGTCTTTCGGATCACAGTCAATTTAACAGATGTGTGGTAATATCTCATTGTGGTTTTAATTTGCATTTTCCTTATCATGTGTGAAGTTGAGCACCTTTTCTAGCACCTGTTGGTACATACAAACACATTCAAATGTGTTCTTTAGAGAAATCTCTATTTGGGTCCTTTGGGCATTTTATTTTTGTTTTGAGACAGAATTGTCACTCTGTCGCCCAGGCTGGAGTGCAGTGGCACGATCTTGCCTTTGCTCATTTTATAATCGGAATGTTAGTGTTAGGGTTTTTTTTTTTTTTTTTTTTTTTTCTGAGTTCCTCGTATATTTTGGATATTAACCTAATATCAGTATATAATTTGCAAACATGTTTTCCATTGTGTAGGTTTTCCTGTCATCGTCTCCCTTGTTTCCTTCACTATGCAGAACATTTTTTGTTTGACATAGTCCAACTTATTTTTGCTTTTTGTGTAATATAATGCTGTAAGTTTCATGCCACATCCAGGTGGAACAAGTACTATGCCATGGGGGTTTTTGAGAAAAGAAAAGCTTTATGTTGAAATTCAACTCCCAGGGAAAGTATGAGGAGTCCAGCTCTAACCTGCTCCTCATACTGGCTTCAAATCACCATTTATTGGAAAAGGTTCAGAGGACCTGGCATGGTGGCAGGTGCCTGAAATCCAAGCACTTTGGGAGGCCGAGGCAGGTGGATTGCTTGAGATCAGTAGCAGGAGATCAACCTGGGCAACACAGTGAGACCCCATCTCTCCAAAATACAAAAATTGGCCAGGCTTATTATGGAGGTTGATGGTCTCCAGTGCTGTCCAATATAAACATAATGTGATCAACATACATAAGGATAAATTTATTGTCTAACAGCCACATAAATCAAGCAAAATGAGATAAGCCTAAGTAAGTTTAACAAACTATAAGCATTTCACATGTAATAAATACAGTTTTAAGATTCTCTAACAGGTAGTTTACATCTCCTTCAGGTCTTCAAAATTTAGTGTATATTTTATACTCACCACACATCTGAATTTAGATAAGGCCCACTTCAGATGCTCAGTAGCCACATGTGGCTGGTGGTTACCATATTGGATAGCTCAGCTGTAGACCCTTTTGCCACTCAACTCAAAGCCGCATACCAACCCATGGCCTTCATTCTAGTGAGTGTTTCCAATACTGGAAAGTCAGGGCCCTGATCATTTATATTTGTACTTATAGTGTATCTTCATTTCCTAATACTAGTGCTTTACAAAGAGTAGGCGATGATGTCTTCATGCAGGTAAAGATGAAAGTGTCCCAAGAAATTTACATGAGTCCCATTCCACTCATGTAAAATCTAATCCCATGCCTATTTATTCCCAGGCAGTGGCCATGGCTGAACACTTTAAAGCAGCAAGCAGTTGTCCTGTCTGCCTGGATTATCTTGAAAACCCCATGCACCTGAAATGTGGATACATCTGTTGCCTCCGATGCATGAACTCACTGCGGAAGGGGCCTGAGGGCAAGGGGGTGCTGTGCCCTTTCTGCCCTGTGGTCTCTCAGAAGAATGACATCAGGCCCGCTGCCCAGCTGGGGGCGCTGGTGTCCAAGATCAAGGAACTAGAGCCCAAGCTGAGAGCTGCTCTGCAGATGAATCCAAGGATGAGGAAGTTCCAAGGTAAGGAATCTGCACTACCTGCTCCAAGCCCATAAAGGGCCTTGGAAAAAGCAGCTTTTAAATGTCTTTCCTTTCAATACGGGCATCAGCTGAAGTCTGCAACCTAAAAGTTTGTGATCCCAAACATCAGCTGTTGTCAGCGCTCAGTATAGATTTTCGCAGGATCTGTGCCATTGATAATTATGAGAGCAAACTACCGTCTCCTCCTTCATCCATCCTATGCACTAAGAGGGAGAAAAAAAAAATAGAATAACTTAACAAGAATTTTTACTATGACAAAGGTGGGCTTGTTGCAATTATATTCATACAGTCTATATGTAAAATTTGACTTAATCGGGGGGCCAGGGAAATTCCTAAGGAAAAAATAGGATCTGAGAATGAACGTGGAACAAAAGAAGTGACAGTGAATAAAATCTTTGGGTCTGTGCAGTAGAAGGGCAGAGGGAGTCTTTAATGTACGTCTTTGCTGAACTACTGGGTCTTCTTTCCACAGTGGATATGACCTTGGATGTGGACACAGCCAACAACTATCTCATCATTTCTGAAGACCTGAGGAGTGTCCGATGTGGGAATTTCAGACAGAACAGGAAGGAGCAAGCTGAGAGGTTCGATTCCGCCCTGTGCGTCCTGGGCGTCCCTCGCTTCACTTCCGGCCGCCATTACTGGGAGGTGGACGTGGGCACCAGCAAAGTGTGGGATGTGGGCGTGTGCAAGGAATCTGTGAATCGACAGGGGAACGTCGTCCTCTCTTCAGAACTCGGCTTCTGGACTGTGGGTTTGAGAGAAGGACAGATCTACTTTGCCAGCACTAAGCCTCTGACGGGCCTCTGGGTGAGCCCCGGTCTACACCGAGTGGGGATTTACCTGGATATAACAATGAGGGTCATTTCCTTCTATAATGTTAGTGATGGGTCCCATATCTTCACATTCACTAAAATTTCTGCTACCGAGCCACTGCGTCCGTGTTTTGCTCATGCAGATACAAGTCGTGATGATCACGGATACTTGAGTGTGTGTGTAATTAATAATGGCATTGCCAGTTCCCCAATTTATCCTGGGCAAGGCAACTACACACTTGAACACAGAAAACATCCACAGTAAGTGGCCGTGTGCTTGTGACCAAAGGCAAGAACTTCTCTGCTTAGTCCACTTATGGTTCAAAGGTATGGAAGAAAAATGTGGGTCTTTCGATGAATTCTGAGCTCTACTTGTATTGCTGATGAAAAATTGCATATGAAATATAGTGTCTTTTTTTGTAACTTATGTTTCTTTTACAATAAACGTTTAAAATTTTCAGATAATTTGCAAATGTTTTTCTTTTGCTTTGCTGTAAGATCAAGTAAATGTGTTATGGAGGTTATAAACTATATAATAATATAAATGTGACCCCCCCAAATTAATTGACTTTCTAAATGACAAGGAAACACTGCCTGTTAAACTGGTAAAAGTATGTGCCTGTATGTGTTCAGTTTTACCCGACAACTGGAAAACACATTCATCTCCAGTACACATTGAACATTCGCTAGCATAGACAGATGTGGCCATAAGACAAATCACATTGACATGGAAAATTGAAATAATATACACACTGCTCTCAAATGCCAACAGAATTAAATTAGAAATCAGTAACAAGAAGAAATCTGTAAAATCTCCAGACATGAAAATTAAACATCCACTTCAAAATAAAATACAGATCAAAGGCGAACTTATAAAGGAAATTATAAAATACCTTGAGCTAAATGAAAGTAAATGCACAATATCACAAAATTTGTAGATGTAGCTGAGGCTTAGAGGGAAATTTATAGAAATAGACACTGATAAAATCAAGGAAAATACCCTCATCCGTGATCTAGCTTCCATTTTTAAATGAGCAAATGCAGTGGCAAATTAGGTAGAAACAATACAAAACAAAAACAAAAGACTACAGTAGCAATCAATGAAACAGAAAATGGATACATGTTATGTAAAATTTAAAAAATTTAAGACATTTTTTTCAGGATCAAAGTAGTAAATCTTCAGCTAGAGTGAAGGAGAGAGGAAGGGATGAATTAAAACAATGAGTAAGCAAGAGAAAAGGAAGACAGGGCAAAATCAAAGAGGTAGAGAAAGAAGAGACAGAAGCCCTTTGTGATGGCTCATGCCTGTAATCCCAGCACTTTGGGAGGCCGAGGAGGGAGGATTGCTTGAACTCAGGAGTTTGAGACCAGCCTGGGCAACATAGCAAAACCCCATCTCTACAAAAAAAAAAAAAAAAAAAAAAAAAAAAAAAAAAAAAAAAAAGGCTGGGTGTGTTGGTTTATTCCTGTGGTTCAGCCACTTAAGAGCTGAGGTGGGAAGATTGCTTGAGCCCCAGGAAGTTGAGGCTGCAGGGAGCCACGATCATGCCACTGCACTCCAGCCTGGGTTACAGAGTGAGACCCTATCTTCAAAAAAACAGAAAGAAAAGAAATGTGAGCATATATACACAATGGAATAGTATTATCCATGAAAAGAAGAAGATCCTGTCATTTGCATCTACAGAAATGAGCCTAGAATACACTATGCTTAGTGAAACACTTTACACAGCCACAGAAAGAGAGATGTACGTCATTCCACATGGAGAATCTTTTAAAAGTGATCTACAGAACTAGAAATAGACCGGGTGCAGTGGCTGACGCCTGTAATCCCAGCGACTTGGGAGGCTGAGGCAGGTGGGTCTACCTGAGGTCGGGAGTTCAGGGCAGCCGGCCAACATGGTGAAACCCCATCTACCAAAACCACAAAGAACTAGCTAGGCATGGTGGTGCACACCTGTAATCCCAGCTGCTCGGGAGGCTGAGGCAAGATAATCGCTTGAATCAGAAGTGGAAGTTGCAGTGAGCTGAGATTGTGTGCACTTCAACCTGGGGGACAAAGTGAAATTCTACCATCTCAAAAAAAAGGAAGAATAAAAGAAAAGAACTAGAGAGCAAATATATGGTGTTACACCAGGGGCTGGGGCTGGGAGGGCAGTAGGGAGGGAGGGTTAGGGAATGGTTGGCCAAGATACACACAATTTCAGCTAGGCAGGAGAAATAAATACAACATACTTTGTATAATAGTTAATATGTTATGTCAATATTCTTGAAAAATGCTAAGGCAATTTTCGGTGTTTTCACATAAAAAGATGACAACTTTTCCGAGGACATGCCTCATTACCTAACTAGATTTTAATGGGCAATGCATCTACATTGCAAACACCATGATGTAACACAATAATTACACATATAACTATTCTGACAATTTAAATAAAACAAAATAAGAAAGTTTACATGTAAAGATGTTCCATTTTACCTCATTGAGATCTTTCTAAAGTTTTAATAAAAATAGTTCTATTGAAACTCTCTTGTAGATTCCTTTCAGTTATTGCTCTCACTTGGTACTTTCAGTGCTTACTGGTTCCTTCTTGAGTTTTCTCTTTATTCATATTCTCTATTTGATGAGGAGTTATTCCTCTGGTTTTAGTTCTTCTGCCTTGAGTTTTCTTGAGTTCTTTGCGCATATTTAAAGACATTTAGTATTTGGAGAGGAAGCCCAACGTCTTAGCTTGTTCATAGTGTTATTTTTTATACGACTATTATATACTTCTGTGTGCGCACCTCTGCATTTTGTGTGAAAAAAGTGGACGTTTTGTGTAATAAACCCTGGAAATCAAATTCTCTCCCCTGAGCAGGCTTTTTTTGTTGCTGCTGGTTGTGAGTTGGAGTCTTGTTTCATTTTTGTTTGTTTGAACCTTTACTTAAGCTTCTGTGTAAAGGTTTCTTTTTCTTCTGTGGCCACTGAAGTCTCTGCCTTCTGGTCTACTAACAATTTGATGGAAATAAAAAAATGCTGACCAAACCCAAAATTCTCTCAAGTTCTTTGCCATGGGATCCCTCTAGGGGGCTTAGCCAGGATTTTTTTTGGAGACGAATCTAACTCTGCTGCCCAGGCTGGAGTGTAGTGGGCGTGATCTCGGCTCACTGCAAGCTCCTCTCCCAGGTTCACTAGCCGGGATTTCTAACTCAGCCTTCATTTCCTGCTTGCCTGGAGCCTCGGGATCATCAGAGGTAAAACATAGGGTTTCTCAGGTTTTATAACCTTTACATCCAGTAATTAGGACATGCATGATAGACACCAATCCACGGTATTCCTCAGTGCTATTCAAAGCCCTTATTATCTCAGGTGATTCTTCCCCCAGATTCTTCCTTAATAAACTTCCATTCTGTCATCTGTTTTCCCTGTTAGCCCTTACCTGAGCAATTTCAGAAGTATGTTTGTCTTTAAGAATTACTTTTAATGACACTGCACCCCAGGAAACCAGCTTTCGTCTGTGTAGATCTGAAAAAGGTGGCATTAAGGCAAGCCCTTGCACCAACCCTTCAAGGAACCAGTCAAATAGATGGAGGCACACAACCACAATTCTTTGAGAACAAAGATTCTCCATCCTGTGGCATCAGCATGCTGGCCTGGGAATGAGGGACGCCATGTTCTCAGCAGCCATCAAGAAAAAGCACTTCAGAGGGCAGAGTAGACCAGGTGAGTTAAATGCTACAACTCAGCCGGGCGCAGTGAACTCATGCCTATAATCCCAGTACTTTCAGAGGCCGAGTTGGAAGGATCGCTCAAGACCAGCCTCAGCAATATGGTGAAGACCTTCTCTACTAAAAGTACAAAAAAATTAGGGGGCATGGTTGTGTGCATCTGTGGTCTCAGCTACTGGAGAGGTTGAGGTGGGAGAATCACTTGAGCTCAGGAAGTCAAGCCTGTAGTGAGCTGCGATTAGTGCCACTGCACACCAGCCTGGGTGACAGAGTGAGACCCTGTCTCAAAAAAAAAAAAAAAAAAAAAAAAAAAAATTGTGATAGATCTTATTTTAAAATCATGTCAGAAAAAAATCAAAGAATATGCCCAGTTGAAACTACAGTAAGAGATCCTTTGATTCGCCTTCAAGGTTTCCTTCCACAGCTGATTATGAAACTTTGATTCTGAAGTCAGAGTTTTGAAAAGGAACATAGAAAACTCTCGGCCCTTTTCTTATCAGGATCTTCACATCATGTCCAGAAGTTGCATTTATCACAAGTGGCTGAGGTTTTGCATTGGGGATAAAATATTCTCAGAGAAGCCCCAGACTCACTGAGGCAATGTCACGGAGAAATACTACAGACAAACATGATACGTGGCGTCTCTAAGGGGAGAGATAGGGTCCAAGCTGTCCTCTATAACTTCACTAGGACTCAGATTGCCCCACAGCTTATGGTAGCTGACACTTCCTGTACAGAGCTTGTTGCCAAGACCACCACCCCAGTGAGTGCTTCACATGTAGTTAGAGCAAAAAAGGTAGAACATAAGATCTCAAACGGAGAAAGACTCAGAGTCGAGGACAAGAGCAATAGCATTGGGCAAACAAGTTTACCCCCCTGCCTGGCTCTGGGCACTTCTGAGCCACACCATGGACCATCCATGCCCCAGCTGGTCCAAGACAGTGGCACATCGAACCAGGTGCTTGCCTTGAGCTCCTACTCAATGTGTAGGACCAGAATGCTCAGGTTTACTGTATATCCCTGTGTCCTAGAAACACTGTCAAAGGAATAAATTAGGACAGTCTCCTTAGAAACTGAGCCAAGGATCACTTGAGGTCAGGAGTTCAAGACCAGCCTGGCCAACATGGTGAAACCTCATCTATACTAAAAATACAAAAATTAACCTGAGTGTGGTAGCAGGCGCTGTCGTCCCAGCTATTTGGGAGGCTGAGGCAGGAGAATTGCTTGAACCCGGGAGGCGGAGGCTGCAGTGAGCTGAGATCGCACCACCGCACTCCAGCTGGGCCGCAGAGAGAGACTCCATCTCAGATTTTCAGCACGTAAAGACCCTAAAACCTACACCCTATCTGAGTAGAGCCTCCCTCACCTATGGACGCCTAATAGGCACAGCCACCAGATGCATAGCCATGGGGCATAGTAAATACAGTGTCAGGGTTGAAACATTATCCAGAGGATGCCCAGTTCGACTTCCCTGTTCTGAAAAGAAGGTGAAAAGGAGAGGCTTTTCTGAGGACACACTTATCTTACATTTCTCCACAGCTTAGAGAGTGCATCCTTCAC